CATTTATAATGGAAGTACTCTTTAAAATAGCCTTCTCACTTTTATTAATGTGGAGAACAAAATTGAAGAGCTAGATCTTGGCAGAAATTTCCACTTCAGACTTGCCACAGTTGTCTGGCTTTCAGACCCACACCACAAAAAGAAAAAAAGTACGATGCAACTTTGAGTATAAACTTGTAGCTTCTGAAAACTAAAATCTTCTGAAGCACACTCACTTATCTTCCTATCTGAGGGTGTGGCCTTTGTAGCCTATGACATAAAGTGTGTGTGTATACACACATACTTCTGCTGAACAGGCAGATGCCATCTTTAATTTTTTACATGACTCTTTCTCTGGGGGACCAAGGTAGTGGGCCTAGCTTGCTTGCTTGCTTGCTTGCTTGATGTGGGAGGATGAGCATTTTCATTCAATCAATAGATCGCAGCAGGTTATTGTCTGGGCTGTTGAGACAGAAATGGACTGAAGGGATGAATACCAGCAGCTCACCAAGGTTCCCTCTAAGGTGCGTGCATGCGTGCGCGGCTGGGCATGAGTAAAAGTCTGGCCGTGAACCAACTTTTTCAGGCTGTGCACCCACCGGGAATGGAGCTGGGCTGCGGCATGGGTCACTTACTAAAGGTAAGCTCCTCCCCGAGGTGAGGCGGGGGCTGGTGTGGGCTCTGCTGGCTCCGGGGAACTGCTGCGCTCCCCCGCATCACCTCGGGGAGCAAGGGGGCACGTGGCGTCAGGGCTGGGGGGTGGAGCACTTCCCTGGAGCTGGCAGAGCCTCACTCAGGGCAGGCAGAGGCTCCTCCCTGAGGTGAGGCAAGGCAGGGATGGAGGCTGGCTTGGGGGCTGGCGCAGGCTCCGGTGGCCCCAGGGAACTGCTCTTAAGGCTCTGGGAATTGCTCCACTCCCCAGCCCTGATGCCACGTGCCACCTCCTCCCTGAGGCAATGCAGGGGAGTGGAGCAGTTTCCCGGAGCTCCCTCCAGCCGCCCTGGGAGAAGAGTGAGGAGCTTACCTTCAGTAAGTGTCCCACGCCGCACCGAAAGGGGGAGGCGGGGCCGAAGTGGTGCACTCACGGACCGCTACTCCTTAGAGGGAACATTGCAGCCCACTGCAAAGGGTATCCTGTCACCGTTGCCAAAAAGGTGCTGGATACTGAGTGGAAATGGACCTGGCTAGGGCAGTGAGCAACATATCAATACAGTGAATCCTTTTGGCACCCCCCAAATCTTAGTTGTTGACTCTTTATTGAGCTTTGGGGAGAAACTGAAGCAAGTAGGGTTGTGATTCCCAGCAACGCTAGTTCAGGAAGGTTAAATTGGCACCACCTATTCTACCTAGCATAAACTGGGTTTCCATTTCTGGTCCACATGCTACCTTGATCCTGTGTAGTCAAGATGGGTGTCACCCAGTGCCGTCTGAACAGGAGGACTAAGAAATTGTGGTATATTGAGTAGGGGATGAGGAGAATGTAAGTCATTTGCTCTGTCTGGTTGCATTCAAGATAGGCTTTGATGTCCCTGATACTCACTGTGATGGTTCTTTTTTATTTTTTAAATCTCTATTGAAAAACTTTGTAACTAAATTCTGCATTGAATGTTTTTCACATGCCTTTTGAGTAGAGTGACATTCTCAAAGACAAATATTTAACTTTCCATTCTTAATGCTGTCATTTCTTTTAGCCTATCTTGAAATTGTTGAAGTTTTGGCATTATACTTCAAATGAAAACACATTGCAAGTGAAGTGTCAAGGTCTGAGAGATAAGGCTAATTGTTCTGGTGGGGCAAGTCCAGGTTTAAAAAAAAGAAATCCTTGAATGAGAAGGAGAGTGCATTTGTTTTGGTGATTGTGGTTATTGAGACAGTGGCAGAACTGTAGTGCTTGGTGGCTCTTCGCAGCATGGTGGAAGGAGAACTTACTATAAAACTGTAGGACAGCTATCTAGGTACGTAGATGTCTAGGTGTCCTCAGATTGTTGTAACCATAATGTGATTATAAGCCAATGCTTTTGAGGAATTTGTTTTAATTGACTATAGTTCTTTTGTTCAACGTTTTGCACTACACTTGAGCTTAATGCTTTAGGTCAGTGGTGCTCACCTGTTGGCCCCAGGGGGCTAGCACTGCCCCCTCCAAACCCCTGCATGCCAGGATTGCGTGTTGAGGGGTTGGTACCACTTCCTTTAAGCATCAACCCTGCCCACCCTTGCACGCTAAAATCGGGTGCCAGATCCAGTGTGCAGGCCCTGGGGCTCTCCATGGGTTTGGAGATTCGGGGAGCGATACCACCATGTCCCTGCTGCCAAATGTTCCGACCTCTGAGGAGCCCTGCAGGCTGGATGACATGGCACAGAGATTGAACATCCCTGCTTTAGGTGAATGCTGAAATAGTGGCAGGCTAGTAACCTTGCTGTGTAAGCTATGATATAGAGGTATTAAAATTGTTTGCCCTTTTTGACAGTAGTTGTACTTTAGTAGACAAAGAGCTAGGGAGATGCTTAGCCAGACTAAACTTGTTGCAGAATTGTCTCAGGACTCACTAGGCCAGGAGGCTATTTCTATTCCTTTTTTCTTGGGTTCAGGTCTCTGACTTTGGGGCCAGGATGCTAGTCATGTGTGTGCTCCAAAAGCTTCTTGTTCAGGTATTGAACCTGCACACTGATTCCATTTCACCTGTGTGAGATGTCATACAAGCTGTAAGCCTAAATGGGCTACTAGATGGAACTGGTCACCTCCATACACAGTTGTAACTGTACACACAGCTGAGATGAAATAAAGGTATTTGCATATTTGTTTTGCTGTTGGGCACAGTATCTTCTAGCAGTGCAGTACTAAAAGGCTTGTTCAGTAATTTATTACTACAACTTTTCAGTTCTTAAAGCAAGTATTGTGTTAACTTGCATATAAGATGAGGTCTTTCCCCCAATCAGCATAAATTATATTCGCATACCAGAAGCTCCCTTAAATACATTGTCTGTCATTAAACTGCTGATAAAAGCAGCATGTGCTTAGTCATGGAAACCAAGTATGAAGTTGATTGAATACAACTCATGTTGAACATGGCCATAAAACACATGGCTCACATTTAGGCAAATACACTTTTTTTTTTTTTTAATTTCATGTCTTAGGCCAAATTAGCCAAATCTTTTCCATATTCCAGCGACTGAGTACAGGTCAGTTATTCAAATGTATGTGGTGCTACCACCAGCAAGTATCTTCCCTCCTTCATAGGGTTTCAGATGCTCCCGAATCCATGGCAGGCGTCTTGCATGCAAGCCCAAGCCTGGAGGTTCTGGGGTTCAGATGCCCCCAAGTCTCGCTTGCACTTAGCCAGCAGGCCAAAGGAGCAAGCTAGGGAGAAATGCCCCATCTACATAAAATAGGCCTGTAGCTGAGATCCTTTGAGTGGAAGGCTATACTAGACTCTTGTAGGGGGGTCTGTCCACAGTGCATGGGACAGGTCTCCACCCTTCGCTACACAATGCCATTCAAGGTGATCTGACCTCTGTGTGGAGCCACCTTTATGGTATTTCCCCTGCTGGGTAAGTATGGGAAACTACCACAAGGCTAAGTTAGTGCATCCTGTCTAAATAAGATATAGTGCCTGTTGTGCTTGGTCTTCCTTAGCACTGACTCTTTTGCAAGTCACTACATCAGATATTGACTTCCTCTTCACTCCCACAGTTGGACAGAATCTTTTTCCTGTTTTCCAATTATTCTGTTTCTTTACCAGCCCTAAATGCCTGGCAAACAGCACCAAACTTTTGTATAGACGAGGGGCTTTGTCACCCCCTCTCTTGGCCTGTCGCGTATGACTAGTGTGGTCCTGCCTTCCATGGAGAGGAGCCAGGCAAGGCAGCCTCGCGCTTCACCTGCACATACATTTTTGGAGGGTTCCAGGATTTGTGACTAGAACACCTGGTTCTGGTATCAAGTAGGGGGCTAATTTGCAGGTGGATCCTTTGTGGGAAGGGTGGGGGCGTGTTATCTGGACTATACGCAAATACTGAGCAGTGTTGGGTTGTGGGGTCACTATGGCTTGAAACACTGTTGACTCTGTTGAGGTCCAGTCGGATGAACTATATGATGAATCATGAGCCTTTGGGTTAATATCATACATAGTTTGAGCTATGTATAAGTATACAGAAGTGCTGCTCAAAAGTGTGTTTATGGAGTACCTGTGCTGAAACTTGCGGAAGTTTGCAAGAAGTTAAGATGCATCAATTCTGGATGAACGAAGTCTGTAGTAATTGCATATATGCAAATTACTGTGGCCATGTTTATTTCAAAGTCAGTGGGGTTTTTTTGGCTCTTTGTTTCAAATTAACAAGGTTTTCCTGTGCAAAGTGTTGGGGTGGGGAGGAGGCAGGTAGTTTCTGTGGGTCTGGGTCAGAGTCAGACCTACAACAGCCTCCTGCCTCACCTTCTGCTTGCCTTCTGCAACTTCTGTTTCCCTACACTCCCATTTCTCCCCTTATACTGTCACATGTAGCTTCGGGAGGGAACAGAGTATGTTGTGCTCTGGGGAGGGAATGGAGCCGGGGCAGAGTCTGACAGTAGGGGTGGGGAAGAAGCACAGACTGGACAAAAAGGCTGCAGGGGGAAGAAGGGAGGGGGTAGAGGGCAAGGGGGCCAGCTGATCCTCTCTCCCTTCCAGCCACTGTTTTCCCTGCTGTAGCAGTGGGAGGGGGACAGGTTCAAGACAACCCTCTGATAATTAGATTCTATGCCTGGAAAATATAACACATTTATACATCTTCCATTTATGGAATGTAATTATTGGGGGGGGTCATCTATTCAGAGTTCTCTTAGAGTCAAGTAAATATGGTAGTGTGTGAACTATAATTTTCCTTGCAGTGTTTTTATGCTTTTTGGTGGAAGTATAGAAACATTAAAAGGAAAATTTGCAGTATTTTCAATTTAGTGTCCTTTTATTTGGCTTGTGAAACTTTGCTTGTGAGTAGTGGACTTCATCACTAACCTTTTTTCCCCCTCCCCTCTAAATCTTTGCCAGGAAGGGAGCAGTTTCATGGCCTTGGCTCTATGTACTGCAGAGGTGCAGCTGCTGTGATTCTTACATACGATGTAAATAACCTGCAAAGCCTGATAGAACTGGAAGACAGATTCTTAGCACTGACTGACAGCGCTAGTGCTGACTGTATCTTTGCTATTGTTGGAAACAAAGTGGACCTCACCGACGAATGTGCCTTACAACCAGAAGCAGAAGATGAAAATAGATCTGAAAAGCCCATCACCAGCTGCATCTCTACCAAGGTGCAAAAACAAGTCCACATGGATGATGCTATTGCACTCTATAAAAAGATATTGAAATACAGAATGTTGGATGAAAAGGATGTTCCAGCAGCTGAGAAAATGTGCTTTGAGACTAGTGCAAAAACAGGATACAAGGTAGACTTCCTCTTTGAAACCATATTTGAGTTGGTTGTGCCAATTATTCTACGGCAGAAGGCTGAGGGGCCACCACAAACTGTAGACATAACTAATTACAAGCCAGCAAAAAGGACAAGATCTGGTTGTTGCGCGTGAGCCCATGGAGAATGGTGGGGGGGTTGTCATCCTGTTACACAATTAAGAAGATAATTAAATCTGAGCTGCTTGCAGTTCAGCAGAGGAAAACTAGAGGAATAAGTTTTCTAGAGTGATTGTTTGTGGAACAACAAATTTAAAGGTCAAAAAGTTTTTTTGGAAAATTCAGCTTTTTATGGAAATGAAAATCTAAGTAGAAGTTATGGAAAAGTAGTTGTAAATTTTACAGGGCTTTGTATGGAGGAGAGTATTTGTGAAGAATGTACAGAAGTGGGAATCTATGCAGTGGTATAGTTTCCATGGAAGGTTAGTATTGACAATTGTTTAAACAGTCTCAAAGATATCCTGCTTGACTACTTAAATGGGGAGAAAAATTGTATTAAATGGCCATGGTGATTTGTATTGAATGCAATTTTCACATGATTTTGTCATATATTTCCTTGTAACTCTGACTCGGGAATATTTAGGTACTTGATACTTTCTGTGCTTTACCAATTTCAGTTATATGTAGCAGATCAAACAATTTCAAATTCCTTCTGTCAGACACAACAATGTAAGATGTATATTCTGTACATTAAAGTTACTATGGAATGGACAATTCTTTTGGACTGTTCTTCTGGGCTGTTCATTAGTATAAACTCTGCTTTCCTTGCAGTTGTATTTTGTACAAGGCTACATAACAGAACTTGCTGCTTTAGTTTGTCAGTTGTCAGGGTGCATCTACACGTGTAATTAATGCGCTTTAGATAATGTGTATTAACCTCTATTGTGAGGTACTAGAAAAATGTGCATTAGCTTATTTTAATGTACATTAGCAAAAGAGCACTTTTTGTGATGGTTAAACACACGTTAAAATAGGCTAATGCATATTAAAGCACACATATGGACACTAAAAGGTTTCAGTGTCCTTTTTATATTTTAAAAGTGAACCACAAAGGGTGGTGAGGGAAAATGCACTGGCACTTACAACTCCTACTTTTATGTAGTAGGCATACGTCTTTACGTATTTAAAGTGTTCAGGGAACCCCTTTGTCTTCTGTTTCTGTAGTATCTCATACGAAGCTGTGAGAAACTGGCATTGGCAAATCCTTCAAGCCTTGTGTAATGGAACCCCTGTGGACTTTTCATGAGTTCCACGCCTACCTGAGGGATTTAGACATCCTCATATCTTCTCTTTGTCAACTCAGTTCTCCACTGCAGAGAGAGAACTTCTTAACAGATGAGAATGATAAGCTATTGCTGAATAGTAATTTTACCTCCTCTTCAGTAAGGTGGAGTTTTACAAATGTTTATTAGAAAGGTCAAAGCAGCTTTCATTCCCCTTTCCATAATGTGGTAGTTTTTAATAATTTAAGTCCACTGTGGGCACATCTACACAAGACACTTACTGCGGAGTTGCCTAATTAGCTCCACCAGGGGAGATGCTTTGTTGGACCTGATGCTGGCCATGGGAGATGGCCTGGTGAAGGGACTGCGGGTGCTCGACCACCTGGGGGACAGTGATCATCGCCTGCTGGAATTCACCATCCAGCGCAAGATGGCAAAGCCTACAGCAAGGCAGCAGCCCTAGATTTCAGGAGGGCAGACTTCAGTGAGCTAAGGAGAATAGTCAGGGAAGCACTGAGGTCCCAGAGGGGAGGGGAGCCAGGTATCCAAGGACAGTGATCGCTCCTTAAGGAGACGATCCTCCAAGCCCAAAGGGAGGTAATCCCAACACGGATCGAAGGGAGCAGGAGGGCACATAAGCCCCCATGGCTCACCCAAAGCATCTGGGAATGTCTCCTAGCAAAAAGGGAGGCGTACACCCAGTGGAAGGGAGAGCCCATCACCAGGGAGGACTATGCTGCAGTAGCTCGGGGATGCAGGGGGGCAGTCAGGAAGGCCAAGGCAGAGATGGAACTGAGACTAGCTTCCCAGATTAAGGACAA